TGTGCGTTGTGTGTTCATCTTTTTTTAAATATCTTTACAAAGTGTTGAAAAAGTTAGGTTTTATTTGTGGTATTTCTAGTCTTGTTGTTGTTGTTGTTGTACTCAAAGTCGGTCTTGGTCTTGAGATCATTTTTTTGAAGGTCTTGGTCTCGTCTTGGAATCAAAAGCATTTATATTCGGTCTATACTCTCTCTCTCTTGTCTCTGTCTCGCCCTTTCCTTGGTCTTGGTCTTGACTCATCCTCGATCCCCAGATGTCTTGGTCTTGGTCTTGGTCTTGGTCTTGACTCTGTCTCAATCCCTAGTTATCTTGGTCTTATCTCGGTCTCACCCTGCCCTGGTCTTGGTCTTGACTCTGTCTCGATCCCTAAATGTCTTGGTCTTGTCTTGGTCTCGGGTATGTCCTGGTCTTGACTACAACACTACTATTTCCCAAATCGTTTCTTTCTCACCATGACCCCGTGCCTGAAGTGTATTTTCAGAGAACACACTTTACAACGGTCAAGAGGGATCGAAACATTGAGATTTTTTTCTAATATAGTAATGATGCTAAGCAAGAGTATAGTTTGCAGGATATTTTATTTTCAATGTGTCAGTTTTATGTCCTAAACTCCGACTTCATCAGAGAGTTGGATGTGCTAACACCTCCTTAAAAACAATGCAGCGTGTGATGTAGAAGGAGCGCCCCCTTGTGTACATTTTCATTTTGTAGTTTTTGGAAAGTTAACTTTTATCATGTTTTTCTTCAGGCCTGTGGGCTCATGGTTTTTATTAACCCACTTAGTATCTTGGATTTTTTTTTTTGTGGGGGGGAGGGGGAATCTCTCAAATCACAGATGATGAATTGTCATGAAGTCCACCAAAATTAGTTTTTAAAACCATGAACACCTGTTGTTTCACAATTTGATAAGCACACAACAAATTAAAATAACTATTTAATGGTTGACTAAAGTTAATTCCAGAGCAGCATTCACGCTTCAAATATCACTATCATACGTTGAACCTCAAAGACATTATTTTAATTATAACTGTTGGATCAATATCGTTTGAATCTGTGTGTTGCAGCGGCTTGTTCTGTGAGTTCTCTCCCCCGATGGTCCTTCCTCGCACAAGCCCATGCGACAACCACGAGTGCCTCAACGGTGCACAGTGCGTTGTCGTGGGAACAGACCCCCGCTGCCAGTGTCTCCATGGCTATGAGGGCGAGCGCTGTGAGACGCTCGTCAGCGTCAACTTTGTCAACCGCGAGTCCTACCTGCAACTTCCCTCCAGCCACCTCTCACCGGAGACAAACATCAGCCTACAGGTACGAGACTGTCAGGCAGCGCCCAAGAAATATTTAAACATGAATTATGTGTGACAGCATACAGATTATTATATACTGTAGTGTGAGTGAGGCCTATAGGGAATACATCTAAGTGCAGTAGGTTTCATCAAACTGTAACCTTATGTAGTCAACATTTCCTTCACAACTACAAGTGAAAAAAAAAACTTCAAGGCCATTTAAACAAGTGTTTTCCTGTGTCCTCAGATTGCTACAGATGAGGACAGTGGTGTGTTGTTGTATAAAGGAGATAACGATCACATCGCCATGGAGCTGTACAGAGGACGTCTCAGGGTCAGCTACGATACCGGATCCTACCCTCCGTCTGCTATATACAGGTACATGACCACATTAGCAGAAATGTCCGACACAACACTCTCAGTGATTCCACTTTCACATGATGGATGATTCAAATGTTGACACCGGATTTCCCCGCCCTCTCTCTCTCTGTCAGTGTGGAGACAGTGAATGATGGGAGCTTCCACGCTGTGGAGTTGGTAGCCTCAGACCAGACTTTGTCTCTGTCCATTGACGGTGGGCCGCCCAAATCCATCAACTCCATTAGCAAACAGTCCACACTCAACATAGACTCTCCACTTTATCTGGGAGGTGAGTACTGTTGGCTCATTGTTGCTGTTGGACCACCACTTTTCTATGTTTGGTCTTCAGGTCTGTCAGAGAAGTCAAATATACCTTGGTCATGTTTTTATCATGCAACACTTTCTTAATCGTGCCTTTCTTCCTCCAGGTATGCCAGAACGTGCCTCGGCCTCAGGGGGTCTCTCATCCCTGCAGCATGGCTCAGGTGGACGTAATGGCAGCAGCTTCCACGGCTGCCTTCGTAACCTCTACATCAACGGGAAGCTTCAAGACCTGGGGGCCGGTCTGGGGCCAGGGGTACCGGGCACAGGGACCGCACAGAGCACCACCAGACAGTGGCTGGGCCACGGGGTGGAGCCAGGCTGCCAACCCTGCCAGAGAGGCGCCTGCGTCCAGGGTGACTGCCACCCAACGGGGCATCGAGGCTTCACCTGCACCTGCCACCCCGGCTGGACAGGGACACTGTGTGACCAGCAAGTCAACAACCCCTGTGACGGCAACAAGTGAGTGTTTTAATTTTGTATTTGAGTGATTTCAGGGTTCATAAGAGCTTAAAAACAAAATGGAATAAAAGCGTTTGTCCAGGTTTGTTTGTTTTTTTATGGACAAACTGAAATATTTTATTTGTCCACAGCAGACATCACCTGGTGTGTTCCCCAGGGTTCAATTCTTGGCCCCCTGCTCTTTTTCTTATACATGCTGCTGCTTGGCAGTTTGTTCCAATATATGTCAATAATGTCTCTGTTCATATTTTAAATGATGACACACAGTTATACTTACCCAAAAACAAAATTGCCTAACTCTCTCAACACACAACTCGATGTCAAAAAACATTTTCCTATTAAACGAGAACAAAACGGACATTTTAGTTTGCGGGCAGACGAATGCCAGAATCCAAATTCTACAGGACCTAGGTGATATGTCATGATATATAGTGCCAGTAGCGAGAAATTCAGGAGTAATTATTGCCTGCTTTCTAACCTTTGATGAGCAGGTGAGGACAGTTGTGCAGTCTCCCTTTTATCAACTCATACTTCATCAATCCATTCTTTGATTTCGTCCAGACATCTTCAACTTGTCCAAAAGGCAGTTGAATTTAAATTTGCATTAAAAGTCAAGATCATATCACTCTTGTTTAAGCACTCCTGCACTGGCTCTCTGTAAGTTTTAAAATTGATTTTAAGATATCGATGGTTGCACGGTCTGGCCCCTTGCTCAGGACAAAAAGTGACTGTGTCATCTCTGTTAGAGCGCCTGTACAGTTTCAGCTTTAGAAATTCAGCTAGCTCAATCAGTTTTATCTTTTAAAATGTCTTCTTAAAGCAAATTTTATGAACTGGCTTTTATGTAAATATTCTTTTGGTATCTTGATCTTGTGTAATATTTTAGCAAATACCTGTTCTGATCCCCGACAGCTGATGAGTCTTTATATTTTCTTGTCTCCCTCACATATAACCCTTAATTACTATTATGTGTTACATTTTCTTATTTTGTTGTTTACAGTAAGCACAATGTAAGCATTGTTTCAAGATAAGTGCTATACAAATATAAAATGTTTTTAAATCCACATTATGTTTCAGGTGTATCCACGGTACCTGTCTTCCAATCAACTCCTACTCTTACTCCTGCCGCTGCCAGCCCGGTTTCGCTGGCGTCCTCTGTGACGAGCAGGACCAGGACGCAGCCAACCCGTGTAGTCTGCCTCGCTGTAAACACGGAAAATGTCGAGTGTCAGGGCTAGGGAAGGCGTACTGCGAGTGTAACAGCGGATATACAGGAGAGGCCTGCGACAGAGGTGAGGGAACTTTTCACAACATGCACGCTTGAAAATCTCTGGCAGACTGACCCTGAAACCTTCCTGAGTTGCTTGTTCACACATAGCGAGAGTCTTTCCCTGTCAGAATGGAGGGGGAGATGTCAGTAGGAAAGACATGACTTAAAAAGTCCAGCGAAAACTTTGGCTGTTTGCGTTTACACATGCAGCGTGCCCCGAAAATTTCAGGAGGTTTCAAGAGTTGTGTGAATTGCACCAATAGATGCATCTTTTGATTGGAAGGTTTGATTTTGATCATCTGTGTTTACAGTACACTGACTTCTTCCATTTCCACTTTGAATAATATCGTATGCTTTCCAAGCTTTTGAATTTAAAGCCATTTTCAATTAACAAAACCTCTTTTAACTTTGCTTTGCTGTCTTCTATGTGTCTGATTAACAGCCTATAATTTATGTGTGTCTCTAACAGTGTTTGTTGTCTCTGCATTAACACTTCTAACATGCTGCTTTTTCAACTCAGCCTCTCCTGAGCCTCCTCTTAATCCTTCACGGGGGATAAATCAGGTGAGACCGCCTGGTCACAGCTATTTATTCTCTGACAGATTTATTCTTTCATTTACCTCCCAATTAAACCAAAATATGTCTGCCTGAAGCCTCGTTTCATTTTGGCCTCAACTCATGAAACATGTTGCTAAAGATGTTTTCTTTTAATTTGAACCTTTTCAGGATATGCAGGGCAATTTGATTTTCCAAGAATGCAATAATGTGTCTTCTTCCTTACATTTTATTTAACTCTGTTTTCATGTGGACGATAAAATTCTGGTGGTTTATTCTAGATCTCGACTTTTGGACAGCAAATCTTCTCGACAGCAAATTACTTGCTGGATACTCTCCCATAGATTCCTTCAATAAATCATTCTATCAAAGTGCCAATTCATAACAAGTCTCGACCATTGTCTTTGTTAAAAAAAAAATGGGATGGGGGAGATGGGATTTGGGAGGCAGGATTTCTCCTTTGTATTCCTCGTGTTCCTGTTGTCCACACTTCCTCGCCGCTGAGGTGAAGGTCGGAGCAGGCCGTGCATGAATGAGGTGGCGGTGGTTGTGGGGACGACACAGTCCGATGGTGGTGGCCGGGCTTCAGGGTGGTAGTAGTGCCAGATGACCTCAGGCCATACAGGCCAACATAATCCTCCAGTCCAGGGCAAATGCATCAGATCAAAGCTTAGTGACTCAAATGGCTTGTTTTTGCTACTTAAAGATTGTAATTTTAAAGTGTCTGACAACATTAGAGAAAGGATCCCAAGGGATAAACATTGATTTTAGAAGAGTAAGTTGCTTTTTTTTCATGCAGAAACAGCCTTTGACATCGCCACCAGACTCCACTGACAAAGTGGTTATTTTACCGTAGACCACAAAACATATAGAAACAAGGCTCCACTTTACAAATAATGAATTCCCCTTTGAAGGAAACTTGTTTCATGCTACTTGTTGCTCCAAACGTGAGCATGGATTACTGTTAACCCCTTCGTTTCCCTCCTCCTGCCTGCAGAGGTGGCCTGCCGAGGTGAACGGGTCCGAGATGTCTACCAGAGACAGCAAGGCTACGCGGCGTGCCAAACCCAGGAGAAGGTCTCCCGTCTAGAGTGTCGGGGCAGCTGCCCGGGGGGAGCAGAAGGACAGGGCACCTGCTGCACCCCCCTCCGCAGCAAACGCAGGAAATACACCTTCCAGTGCACCGATGGCTCTTCTTTCGTACAGGAAGTGGAGAAGGTGGTCAAGTGTGGCTGTACAAAGTGTTCCTCATAAAAAAAATGTATAAAAATAGAAGAAAAAAAAAGAGACAACACCCTCGGCAGATTTGCTCCCGTACAGAAATGTTTTATGTTCCTGCCCGCCTTACTTGACCCTCGTCTCCCTCGTCCAAGGTGTCCGACTCCTTCTGAGAAAAAACCTTCCACCCTCCACCAAACCTGTTTTTTAAAAACCCTTTGAAAGGCAAAAAAAAAAAAACAAGAGAAACAACGAAAAAATTGTTTCTTTTCTTGTCAGTGCTGGACTGATGATCGATGCTTCCTCGGTGGGGATGTTGAATTGTATTGTAAAGTACAAAAACAGACTTATTTTTTATTATGAAGTGGAGAAAAAGACAAAAAAAAAAACAAACACAAGAGTTGACTTCTTCCTTACTTTTTTGTTGGTCATGATGACTCCAATGGTGTGCCACACTGTCTGTTCCCCCTGGAGGACCGACCGGTCCCCGACGGGCGGACCGCCTCCTGTAGACTCCCTGCTCCCCCGTCTGTGAGTTGTGTGTTTTAGGAGTAACCTTAACTGGTAGTACCACAGACTCACCACTAAGAGGAGCTGCATTAAGGCATGGGGGGAGACGGAGGGCCGTGATAACCCCCCTACAACACGAGAAAAACCACCACTGTTAGACCTCCTGAACCCTCTGAGACTGTGTGCACGATCCCACACACAGCTGTGCTCAAACTTGTGGTATTTTTTACAGCTACTGAACCACACACACACACACACACACACACACATGCACACACACACACACATACAGAAACTCTCACCTGTAGAACGTAAACATATTACCTGCCAGGTTACAAACACTACTCTGTTTATCTCCTCCCAGTCATGAATGACAAGTATTTATTGTATCATAAATACCTGTACTTATTCAGTAGATCCCCGATGTATCAATCTGATTCTTTTAATATATATTAATTTATATTTGTCCTTATTTTTGTATTAAAAAGACATAATCTGTCAAGATAGCTGAACTAACAAAATGGTGTCCTTTATTTTGGTTGAAGAGAAGTTGTTTTTTTTTTGATCACTGAAACTATTGTGCTTGCCAGAGACCTTAGTTACATTTTAATCTGCAAATGTGACGTGAAGACATTGTATATTTTTGTCGCGTTTCCTGAGAGTTTGTACTGTGCCATTACCAGAAGGTCTTTATATTAGAGTATAAATGTATAGATAATTTCCCTACCTATGTATTTCACACACGGATCTTGTGAGTAGCATTGACCCTAGAGGATGCTTAGAACTGTTTTTACCTTTTTAACAAATTGATGCTTAAAGAATACTGTGACTTTTTCTAAATGAAACTACTTTGTTAGCCCCTTGGTCTCCGACGTTAACATGTTGCTGCTAAGTTTTTGTACCGTAGACTTGGATCCTGATCTGTATGTTATATAGAACTTCCTGCTCCTACTGTACAGGGGCACCTTTGTGTAACAGATAAATATGTCCCCCCCCCCCCCCCCACCCCACCTCTACACATGTGCATTGTGCTTTATATTTCCCCCTTCTCCATCCCCCGGACTAATGTCAGTTCCCTGACTGATGTTTGTTTATTAAACACAATATTTACCTCACACTCCTTACTTTTGCTTTTATTTGTCACTAAAGGGTCCAACTTAAATATTCTACCCTGGACATGATAAAGAAAGTGAGCACTTAAATTATAAAGCACAATAATGTGTACAGTAAACGTCCAATATCACTAAAGATACTTCACAGTAAGTTGAGAAAACACCAATAGTTGATTTGATTGGATTAGTGTATCATGCATAAACAAGATGCCCAGCCCACAGAGCTTACAAGACTCCGTCGTCAATACAAAGAGACTAGAAACCAGAAGTAGACACATGACAATAATAACACAAAAAAACATGTTGGAGTTTCTTCCTGGCTTTAGAAACAAAAGTAAGCCAGCTTGTAAAAAAATAAAAAGCGAAGAACCACCCCATCCTGTCCAGGGGCGTGTCCAGGCTTTTTGGACTGGGGTGGCCCAGCTGGGTGTGTGCAGGCCGGGTGTGCAGGGGTGGCCTGAATTTTGTGTGCACACACAAATAAAGAGCATTTATCTACCCCTCCTGTCTGCACTGATCACGCTGACTTCTGAGTAACACAAGATAAAGCAACATATACATCTCCTAAGCTTAATTCTTCAAAGACTCAAAGAAAAAATGTATGTTCAAAGCCGAACTTGTAAGTATTTTAAACAATTGCAAACAAACATCTGCACACTGAAAACTATGAGCTGCCTGTAGCAACACAACCTGAATGTTGGATTTCAACAGTCCCACCTCTGGCAAGGCAAATTAATTTTTTTATTTGAAAAGAGAACGTGCACATTAGTCAAAATTCAGACGGATGTAAATGTACCTGAATTGATCCAGGAGGCAAATTTGCATTACTTCATGGACAGTCAGAGTTGACTTCTTCCTTACTTTTTTGTTGGTCATGATGACTCCAATGGTGTGCCACACTGTCTGTTCCCCCTGGAGGACCGACCGGTCCCCGACGGGCGGACCACCTCCTGTAGACTCCCTGCTCCCCCGTCTGTGAGTTGTGTGTTTTAGGAGTAACCTTAACTGGTAGTACCACAGACTCACCACTAGGAGGAGCTGCATTAAGGCACGGGGGGAGACGGAGGGCCGTGATAACCCCCCTACAACACGAGAAAAACCACCACTGTTAGACCTCCTGAACCCTCATTACTTCATGGACTCGACATGCAACTGTCCAAAGATATTTGTGATATCTCACCGTCTTAGGAAAGGTTAGGAGGAGGATACGGAGAGTAGGAGCTAAAACTAATCTAAATTCTGACACAGATTATGTTATATTTTTATTGTTGTGATGCCTTTTGTTGTCATGTTGATAATGGATGGAACATAGACTGTAAATAATCAGATACTAGTTTAAAAATACAAAACCTCTGTCCATCCACCAGAGGGAGCTATTGTACCACTAATATAACACCTGCCCCTGCAGCTGCACCTTTCCTTCTATTTGTGATGCTCACTTTGGTTATATAATGGATTCATTTAACCTTTTCCTTGCGTGGTGTGGTAATTACGGTGGCTGATAAGTGCACAGCAAAATTACAAATGTGAGACAAATTTACATTTTGAAAAACCTTTTTACATTTTTAGAAAACAAAATTACTAAACTAAAACACTTTTACCGAGGAAAAAACAAATTTACGTCTTATAACACAAATTTACAAGATGTGAAACACTTTTACAATCCCCAAACAAATTTACAAACGACAGAATCTTGACAAAATGGGAATGTATCAAATGTCAGAAGTGACCCGGAAGTGATCGAGTGAGGGGTCATTTTGTTTTGTTTTGCCGTGGTACATTCCCTTTCCCTCAAGATTCTGTCATTTGTAAATTTGTTTGGGGACTGGTAAAAGTGTTCTGCCTCTTGTAAATTTGTCTCAGCGATTGTAAAAGTGTTTCACATCTTGTAAATTTGTTTTGTCCTTGGTAAGTGTTTTTGGTTTTGTAATTTTGTTTTCATAAAATGTAAAAATGTTTTTCAAAATGTGAATTTGTCTCACATTTTGTAGAAGTGTTTAACACTTTGTAATTTTGCTTTACACTTCCCAGCCACCGTAGGTAATAGTGTGTGTTTGACCTCTCCTTAAATCACATGCAACAGAATAACCAGCTATGTAAGCAGCAGATTGGTATTGGCACAGGGCTGCAGTGTCACCTAGCAACAGCACTTTCAAAAGCTCATAAAGAAAAAGGACTCTATCAATCATATTGATCAATCAATCAATCAATCAATCATAAAAGTAGGTGTGTCCGTCTCCAGGGTTTGCCATGAAAAGCATACTTAGCATGCAGAAAAATAAAACACTTCAAGGTTTAGAGGTCCAATCAGTAAGATATCTACTGACTGAGATGATAAAGGTATCTTACTATATGATCAGACATTAAGGAAACATGCTATGTTGAAGTGCTGGCTTCTCTGACAACAATGCAGCAGCCAGTATGTCCTCCTTCTAACTTTAGATTCTGCTCCTGAATGCTCTGGATTTGTTTGGACCAGAGAAGGTAGACGGTTTTAAAACACCCCCCACACGGCCGTTTTGGACACCCCTCGGTTTGCCAGATATGAGAGCAGTTATCAGGTCAAACCAACAGGTGTTGCAGCGACTCTTCCATTGTAGGCCTACTTAGCTCATGATGAGTTTATTTCTACCAAACTCATGATGAATCACAATGGCAAGCTCCAGTGTGATTGGCGTATGGATGTGACAGCCCTGTGCAATGAGATCATGGCAGATTGAAATCACACACAGATTGTCTTTCAAAGCTGGTTCCTCGTCAAATGTTTGGTAATGTCTGGTGTCACTTAAATCAACACACCAGTTCACAAAGTCATGCAGGATGTTGGGTAGGCCTACATATTTGCTGCATTGGAGACGTGATAGCCGATCGATGCCGATGTAACAGTGTAAGTAATTAATTTAAGTTTATTGTTAAATTCCTGTTAAACTTGGGATGAACTGTTATGACTCGACACTAGAGTACGGACCCAAAAGCACGACTCCGGACACAGAGGCACAATCCAAACAGTCTTTAATTGTGCGACAACAAAAAAACACAATGCCAAAAGGACATTGGCAGCGAGAAAACAAAAATCCTCAAGGGAGAGACGTCCACGAGTAGGACACTGAGGCAGAAGTTAGCAATGAGCAACACACGAGAGTAGTTCACACTGAACTAGAATCAGAGATGTGAGCCAAACGAGGTTAATACCACAGAGAGATATTGTATACTCAAGGCGACGACTGGTGAAAGGTTGATTGTCTGCACCTGGGCTGCCTGGAGGAGAAAACCACGCCCACCTGCACTCACAGACACAACAAAGCACACCTGACACGCAGGGGAGGAGAAGCAGAGGGTTGAGACGAACAGGAAAACTAACAACCAACATGAGGAAGGGAGGGACTGCTAAGGGTGAACCATAACATGAACAACTGCGTGTGTTTTTTTCTTTTTTCTTTTTTTGAAAATCCACAGAGGACATTAGTGCTGTACTAAATTGCTTCTCTGTTCCCTCAAGTAGCATTTAGCTGCTAATGGCTAAGTGCATAATATGTGAAAACAGCTTGTGTCCTGTGTTGGACCGTGGTTTCATCTTCTTCCTCAGAAAGGGACTTCAGTATGTCATCATAACTACCTGCAGCTGAAAGCTCTCTTCCCCACCACATTTATGTATAAAGCAAAGCCTGGCTGTTACAGTTATAAAAAAAAAAAGGTGCAAAGACCAAAATAATTAGGGATTTGTGTTTTTCCTCCATTAAAATACATCTGTGATTATGATATATTCTAACTTTGTTGAATGAAAATATTTTATTTATTTGTTTTATTTTTAATTTATGTATTTATTTGAAAAGAGACAGTGCACATTAATCAACATTCAGACGGATGTAAATGTACTCGAATTGGTCGAAAGGCTACATTTTCATCGGCAGTCCCTTTGACAGGTGTTCTTTGGCATCATAGAATGAAATGTAACTCATTATTACACGTTCATATAGAAAGAAAACAACAACAACAACAAATACAGAATACAATTTGGGTAACAAGAAACGAATAATGTCCAACATTATACAGTTAAAGTTACCAGGAGTAGGTGCAGCATCAGTGTTGACATTGACGGTTCTCAACAAGCCATTTTTTAACATTATATTTAAATGACTGTCTAAAGTTTTGAGTGCTTGTTTATATGATGATTCCAGTGGTTTTAGGGAGAGAATGGGAGAGAATCATTGAGTGGAAGTGTATATTTACATGCTTTCCATTATTGTTTTCCTTTATTTTTAATGTATTTCTTTGTGTTATTTTTATGCTGTGTCTGTAAATCACTTTGGTCAGCTGAAGCTGTTTTAAATGTGCGACACAAATAAACTTGACATGTTGCTGCAGGAGCTGGGAATTGAACCCCCGACCTTCTGGTTGAGAGATTACCAACTCTACCAACTGATCCACAGCCATCTCTCACATTTGAATTTGAAGCTTTGTGAAAAATGTATTTAGTTGGCCTTTTCCCATTCAAACTGTCGCTGCCTTTTGAAGGATAAATGATCATCTACAGTGATAATAAAACATAATGAATTTAAAAATACATTTTTTGTTTTCAGAATCAGTTCTTTATTGCCAAGTACATTTACACATACAAGGAATATGACTTGGTGTTTTGGTTCAAAACAAGTAGCAAAGGTTTGTCAGCAAGAGATTATTTAAAAAATGTTAACATCATTAGAGTTCAAACATTTGATAACCTTAAGGGACAAAACTCAGTGTTCAGGCTGAGATAGAAACTTATCTCTGTGACACACACACACACACACACACACACACACACACACACACACACACACACACACACACACACACACACACACACACACACACGAGCGCGCGCACACACACAAACCCAGCTGATTTCTTGGAAATGGAGGAGGGAGGGGCAACAGGCTCTTAATCTTTGTACATGTTTATGTCTCTGCCGTCGTGCATGTAGCCTGTTATGTGCGCAGTAAAAGTAAATGCTTATATGTAAATGTAAATGTAGGCCGTTATCTGATAGCAATGCAGTGTGTTAAGTTTAGAAACTATATCTGTTCGTCACAGACAAAACCTGCTCACATGAATGAATGTGTTTTGTACGACGGAGTAGACTAGGGCCACGTTAAAAAAATAAAAAAATTAATAAATCGAGATTAAAGTCGTAAATTTACGTGTGCGTGTGTCTGTCTGTGTCTGTGTGTCTTAGTCCCGGATGTGGCGTTTTTTGTTTCTTGTGTTTCGAGCTTACAGTGAGTGTTACTGTTGTCACAAACACACAGAGTGTCTCTGATGAAAACACTGTCATCTTAGCCTATTTTAGTGTTACGCATTATAAAATGATCAAATGTTTCCAAACGAACAGACGTGAACGTTTCCTTCAGAGTTTCGCACTGCAGTCTGATCAGCTCCGTGTGCAGTTCCACGTCTTTCATCTAAGTAAACTCAGTTAAACGACTTTTAGTATGAGCCTGGCAGTCCGTTCTTCTACACATCCATGCGATCGTGCCCGAACTCTGTCACTGACTTTTTTATGCACCATGAGCCTGTGCCATGTCTGTGCGTAATTCAAGAAAGCACTTTGGCGCTGCTCCGCGGCTAAACCAGCCTCTCTGTGATCGCTTGTGCGGGAGACCGTTTTCGGATAACAAGGAAATGTTCAGTAATTATGCATATTTACAGCCTCATGAGAGCTGGTTATAAAGGCGCCACAGCAGGCTGTATTTAGATGTGATGTCGCGCTGAAACTTTTTTAGTGTTCCGCACAAAACTTTAACCCCCTGGTGACCTAAAGATGAACCATCTGTAAATAAAATCGGTTAATATTATATTATACATATTATACATATATATATCATATTATATATTTTAAATGACTGTTTTTACATTAATAGGAGGTCCATACAGTGAAATATGTATAATATATAATCATATTTGCTGCTCTATAACTGCACACAAACCTTTACAGTTTGTGTAAACAGCTTCTCTGGTCTTATATAGCACCTCACACTCACTGTACAGGAGCACTAAGTGAGACGGGTGCTAAGAGCAGTTCAGACGGATTCAGACGGAGTACCTGGGAAGGTGCTCAAGCCTGTGCAGACCAGCTCTCACAAGTCTTCACCTGCATCTTCAACCACTCCCTGTCACAAGCCTCCATTCCGTCCTGCCTGAAATCAGCCACAATCATACCCGTGCTTTGAAAGGCTTGTTTTACTCCTCATCAAAGCCAGCCTTCCTCAGACCTCGACCCACGCCAGTTTGCTTATAGAGCAAACAGAGCCACAGATGACGCCATAGCCATAGCTCTCCACACTGCGCTGAGCCACCTGTAACACCAGGGGAGCTATGTAAGGCTACTTTTCATCGACTAAAGTTCAGCCTTCAACACAATGATCCCGGACATTCTGGTTAAAAAACTGTCGGACTTATAGTAGAGGAACAAACCCCCCAAAAAAGGCTTTAGTTTTCGAGATACCCCTACCCGAGGTAGAACAAAGCACGACCATATTTTTTCATAACTTGAACATGTCTAGTTTATGAAACGGATTGTTGTATAAAAATATTTTACTGCAAAATAACTTTTTTTGGATGTTTTATGCATCTTACCAAAAAACGAAAATAGGTCAAATTAGGGCTTCTCCAAAAGGGACAGCTCTAGCCTTATCACATGTATCTCTGGGAATCAGAATCAGAATTTCACAAAATATGGACAGGATGTTCACAGATAGTTATTAGTTACAATTATGCAAAGTTTTTATCAATACTATTTTCATTTTTTGAATTTTTCACACTTAAACACACATGTAGTTTAGGTGGAAATTGAAAATTGAAACAAATATTCAAAAGGTATGTATATCAAAGTCTGTCATTTTTTAAGTAAGGACACCAAACATTAAAATATGTCATTTGTATCTTCTTTAGACTGTTATCTCAACATAAAAGCAAGTTATGTGACTTCTCACTTGACCCTATGCTGTCACCAGCCCCTAACAGGAAACTAGTGCAGCCAGGATTTCAGGGCGACCTGGTACAATGGGGCCCTATGGATGTGTATGTGGGAGGAGGTGGCCACAAACAATAGATTAAGACTCAACAACAAGACACAATATAATTGTATTCTGTAATATATATATAATTAAACATTTTATAGTTATTTCTAATACATTTTGTCTCATATTTTCTATCTTACATATGATTTATATGATGACACTCAACCCGTTGCTTTCAACAATATTATCACCTATGACATTGTTTCTATTTCATTCTAAAAAATTAAAGCATTGTCTTGACATCAGTTGTGAAATATTAATGATCTAAAAAACAGTATTGATATATATAACCTTGAGTTCTTAGAAATTAAATATACTTCATATAGTCTATTTGTATATCGGCTATCAATAGACACATATGACTGGAGCCCAAACCCACCCCGGTAACACCATCGTCAGGTCGGCCGACGATACTACTGTGGTTGGACTAATCTCGGGGAGACAAGACTGCAAACAGGAATGAGATCCTTTAGTTGACGACGTGTTGTACTTGCACTGAACACCAAGAAAACAAAGGAAATCATCTTCACCTTCAGGAAGCACAGCGCAGACCCAGCTCCCCTCTACATCAACGGTGTTTGTGTAGAGAGGGTCCAAACCTTCAAGTTCCTGGGCACCCTCATCTCTGCTGACCTCTCCTGGACCTCCAACATCTCTGAGATCACCAAGAAGGCACAACAGCGCCTGCACTTCCTGAGAGTGCTCAGGAAGATCAACCTGAGTGGGAAGCTGCTGGTGAACTTCTACCGCTCCTCCATAGAGAGCCTGCTGTGTGGTACGCCAGCTGCACTGAAGCAGACAGGAAGGAGCTTCAGAGAGTAATCAGCACAGCACAGAGGATCATCAGCTGTACTCTCCCCTCCCTGAAGGACATCTACAACTCCTGCTGCCTGAACAGAGCAAAAAATATTGTAAAGGACAGTAAAGGACATGCACTGACCCTCCCACTCTCTATCTACCTGAATGAGAGTTTTTGTTGTTTTTAGCTGTGGATGACTGTATGTGTGTGCACTTTAAGGTGAAGCTTGATAATTTTGTTGTACAATTGTATAATGACAATAAAGACATTCTATTCTATTCTATTGTAAAGTTAAGAAGACCTTCATAGAGCAACACAAATCAATGAATTAACAAGATGAAAAGTTTGCACATCATTTCTAATAACTTATTCATAAATTATTATAAATGTATCCTGTTCAACAAACAGCTGCACATGTAGAACAAGCTGCAGTCTGTTTATTCTGTGTCCTTGATTAAAGAAGAAGTCGTTCACTTGAACCCAAAAAGTGTGAGTCAAAGAAAAGACTTTGTCAGCTTTTATTCACGAGAGATTATTTAAGAAATGTGAACATCATTAGAGTTCAAACATTTTGACCTTAAGAGATAAAACTCAAGAGTGTTCAGGCTGATATAGAAACTTAACTCAGTGACACAAACGCACACAAACCCAGATGATTTCCTGTAAATGGAGGCGGGAGGGGCTCATGAGAGGAGGCTGGACAATGAAAGTGAAACTGTTTCTAACCGTCGTCAGTTGATAGACTCCATTTTATGTCGACAGAACTGCGCGGAGAACTGAAGTGTGGTGAGTTGGTGAGTGTTTATCTAGAGTTTTTAGATTTTCACTTCTGTAGTCTCAGTTTTCTCCCTGTGAACTGTACAGAGATAGTTTCAAATGGAGTCGATTAATATGACTGCTTCTTTGTCTGTGTGTGTGTGTGTGTGTGTGTGTGTGTGTGTGTGTGTGTGTGCGTGTGTGTGCGTGCGTGCGCGTCCACGTGCCCCGGGCGTGGCGTTTCTTAAAAACTGGTTCCTCTTGTTTTGATGTAACAGTGACTGTTATTGTTTTCCCTCTCAGACTGACTTCAGATCACAACATGGATGTGCGTTTAGAGGAAAAGAAGGACGGAGCAGAGTCTCCTGTACCCAGCTCTCCGGCTCTGAAGAGTGATTCAGGAACAAAGTAAGAAAACTTACCAACTCATTTTCACTTCAGATTGAATTTCTTCTCTAATCAATCTGCTAGATTAAACTTTCTGATTTAAAGAGAAATCATTTGATCATTTAAAAAAAATCATCCTCAGTATTCCTGTCAGACATATTTCCTGTTTGTCACATGTTCTGGTCCAGTTTGTCATGTTCATCAAATCTGCGACATAAAGATAAGCATGTTCTGACGTCAATGGATGTTGTGAAACAAACAGCACCATCTGCTGGATGAGTCCGAGAAGTACAACTATACATAAAGATACTCACTCTGAATTCAGAGGGCAATCGAAACAGGAGGGAGACACACAGGCAGGAAGAAGCACTAAAGACACGATACACGGGAAAAACTACAACATAAAACAGGAAATTAATTCTCAACACTGAAATTAACAAAATATTCTATTAAAGCGTTGTCATCAGAGACTTTATCAAAGATTGATGTCACATAAATGTAAAACTTGTTGGTTTTTGCAGATTTCAGTGGAGCAGACAGAGAGCAGAGTCTCCTGTATCCGTCTGTCTGTCTATGAAGAGTGATCTGTCCAAAGATGATCCTCCACTCTTCAGTCTTGAACATGAACCCTCACACAGAAAGTAAGAAAACTTACCATAGAATCAAACCTGGAAACCTTCTCATTATACACAGCTGTAGCCTTTTTTGTATTTACAGCTTCTTTAATAGCATTGTCATCAGAGACTTTATTAAAGATTGATGTCATATAAATGTAAACCTTGTTGTTGTTGTTTTTTTCAGAGTTCAGTGGAGCAGACAGAGAGCAGAGTCTCCTGTATCCATCTGTCTGTCTATGAAGAGTGATCTGTCCAAAGATGATCCTCCACTCTTCAGTCTTGAACATGAACCCTCACCCATAAAGTAAGAAAACTTTACAAACTGACAGATGTTTACAGTCTGTTTAAATGTCCAACGGTGCGTTTAGCGTCTTTCCGTCTTTTCTCCGTTATTAAACTCCGCTGATGTTGATAAGTTTCGCTGAAGTACGATCCGCTGCAGCGTCCAATCAATGAGTGATATTCAAGACGGGGGCGGGTCTGTCAGTAAAAAGACTTCCTGGAAGGCTGGTCTGATGTTTCCTCGATCATAGCTCCTCCGAGTTATTTCCTCGATCCTCGCTCCTCGCTGCAGAAATAAACGACCTTAGACGTCCTTCAACATGGCGGCTCGGAACGACTTCCGGTTCAAGCGAGGATCGAGGATCGAGGAAACGAGAAATAAGAGACATGAGAAGTACCCATGATACACAGGGAAAAAAACTACAACATAAAACAGGAAACACAGGAAAACGAAACACAAAGATACCATAGAGAAAATAAAAAACCTTTAACCAGGAATAAGAACAGAAAATACACAGGGTTAAAAACAACATGAGGGAAGAACAATACAAAATAAAACAGGAAATGAATTCTTAACACTGAAATTAACAAAATGTTCTTTTAAAGCATTGTCATCAGAGACTTTATCAAAGATTCATGTCACATAAATATAAAACTTGTTGGTTTTTGCAGATTTCAGTGGAGCAGACAGAGAGCAGAGTCTCCTGTATCCAGCTGTCTGTCTATGAAGAGTGATCTGTCCAAAGATGATCCTCCACTCTTCAGTAATGAACATGAACCCTCAGAAACAAAGTAAGAAAACTTACCAACTCATTTTCACTTCAGATTGAATTTCTTCTCTAATCAATCTGCTAGATTAAACTTTCTGATTTAAAGAGAAATCATTTGATCATTTAAAAGAAATCATCCTCAGTATTCCTGTCAGACATATTTCCTGTTTGTCACATGTTCTGGTCCAGTTTGTCATGTTCATCAGAACTGCGACATAAAGATAAGCATGTTCTGACGTCAATGGATGTTGTGAAACAAACAGCACCATCTGCTGGATGAGTCCAAGAAGTACAACTATACATATAAATAAATATAAATATAGGAATATTAAATTAAATAAGCTTTATTATTTAATTATTCAGTTTCATTATCATGAAGTCATTACTGTTGTTGTTTGTTGTAGCTTCAGGACACTGTATTCAATGTTCATGCTTTACAGAAGAAATACAAATATAAACGTATAATTAAATTTTATATGGTATGATCATACTCACTCTGAATTCAGAGGGCAATCGAAACAGGAGGGAGACACACAGGCAGGAAGAAGCACTAAAGACACGATACACGGGAAAAACTACAACATAAAACAGGAAACACTAAAGACACGATACACGGGAAAAACTACAACATGAAACAGGAAACACTAAAGACACGATACACAGGGGTAAAAACTAAAAACTAAAACAGGAAATGAATTCTCAACACTGAAATTAACAAAATATTCTATTAAAGCGTTGTCATCAGAGAGTTTATCAAAGATTCATGTCACATAAATATAAAACTTGTTGTTTTTTTTGCAGATTTCAGTGGAGCAGACAGAGAGCAGAGTCTCCTGTATCCAGCTGTCTGTCTATGAAGAGTGATCTGTCCAAAGATGATCCTCCACTCTTCAGTAATGAACCTGTACGCTCACACAGAAAGTAAGAAAACTTACCAAAGAATCAAACCTGGAAACCTTCTCATTATCCACAGCTGTAGCCTTTTTTGTATTTACAGCTTATTTTATAGCATTGTCATCAGAGACTTTATTAAAGATTGATATCATATAAATGTAAACCTTGTTGTTGTTGTTTTTGCAGAGTTCAGTGGAGCAGACAGAGAGCAGAGTCTCCTGTATCCAGCTGTCTGTCTATGAAGAGTGATCTGTCCAAAGATGATCCTCCACTCTTCAGTCTTGAACATGAACCCTCACCCATAAAGTAAGAAAACTTTACAAACTGACAGATGTTTACAGTCTGTTTAAATGTCCGACGGCCCGTTTAGCGTCTTTCCGTCTTTTCTCTGTTATTAAACTCCGCTGATGTTGATAAGTTTCACTGAAGTACGATCCGCTGCAGCGTCCAATCAATGTGTGATATTCAAGACGGGGGCGGGTCTGTCAGTAAAAAGACTTCCTGGAAGGCTGGTCTGATGTTTCCTCGATCATAGCTCCTCCGAGTTATTTCCTCGATCCTCGCTCCTCGCTGCAGAAATAAACGACCTCAGACGTCCTTCAACATGGCGGCTCGGAACGACTTCCGGTTCAAGCGAGGATCGAGGAAACGAAAAATAAGAGACATGAGAAGTACCCACGATACACGGGGAAAAAACTACAACATAAAACAGGAAACACAGGAAACAGAAACACGAAGATACTATAGAGAAAATAAAAAACCTTTAACCAGGAATAAGAACAGAAAATACAAAGGGTTAAAAACAACATGAGGGAAGAACAATACAAAATAAAACAGGAAATGAATTCTTAACACTGAAATTAACAAAATATTCTATTAAAGCGTTGTCATCAGAGACTTTATCAAAGATTCATGTCACATAAGTATAAAACTTGTTGGTTTTTGCAGATTTCAGTGGAGCAGACAGAGAGCAGAGTCTCCTGTATCCAGCTGTCTGTCTATGAAGAGTGATCTGTCCAAAGATGATCCTCCACTCTTCAGTAATGAACCTGTACGCTCACACAGAAAGTAAGAAAACTTACCATAGAATCAAACCTGGAAACCTTCTCATTATCCACAGCTGTAGCCTTTTTTGTATTTACAGCTTCTTTAATAGCATTGTCATCAGAGACTTTATTAAAGATTGATGTCATATAAATGTAAACCTTGTTGTTGTTGTTTTTTGCAGATTTAGGTGGAGCAGACAGAGAGCAAAGTCTCTGACGAGTGATCTGTTCAGAGATGATCCTCCACTCCCCACTGGTCAACATGAACTCTCAGACACAGTGTAAGAAAACTTACCAACTCATTTTCACTTCAGATTGAATTTCTTCTCTAATCAATCTGCTAGATTAAACTTTCTGATTTAAAGAGAAATCATTTGATCATTTAAAAGAAATCATCCTCAGTATTCCTGTCAGCCATATTTCCTGTTTGTCACATGTTCTGGTCCAGTTTGTCATGTTCATCAGAACTGCGACATAAAGATAAGCATGTTCTGACGTCAATGGATGTTGTGTGACACAAACAGCACCATCTGCTGGATGAGTCCAAGAAGTACAACTATACATATAAATAAATATAAATATAGGAATATTAAATTAAATAAGCTTTATTATTTAATTATTCAGTTTCATTATCATGAAGTCATTACTGTTGTTGTTTGTTGTAGCTTCAGGACACTGTATTCAATGTTCATGCTTTACAGAAGAAATACAAATATAGACGTATAATTAAATATAAATGTGAATAACTTTCACTTGAATATTTATTTTTGGCGCTGTCTGAGAGCAGCCGATTCAAACGCCACTCTCCGCTCGTAAAAATGGTTTGAACCGCAATGCATGATGGTATATATTGCTCGGATAGTGACCATCGCTTGTACAGTACTTTTCAAAATGTATTGTGGGATACATTGAGTGGACTTTATATGGGGTCTGCAGTTTACACTCTTATATTAATTTCATGGCACTAATACCTAAAAAATCTTTTTTACCCCCATGTCAAAATTGATTTTAATCCTAACTCATCACAGACTGACTCTTTACAAACTGACAGATGTTTACAGTCTGTTTAAATGTCCAACGGTCCGTTTAGCATCTTTCCGTCTTTTCTCCGTTATTAAACTCCGCTGATGTTGACAAGTTTCACTGAAGTACGATCCGCTGCAGCGTCCAATCAATGTGATATTCAAGACGGGGGCGGGTCTGTCAGTAAAAAGACTTCCTGGAAGGCTGGTCTGATGTTTCCTCGATCATAGCTCCTCCGAGTTATTTCCTCGATCCTCGCTCCTCGCTGCAGAAATAAACGACCTCAGACGTCCTTCAACATGGCGGCTCGGAACGACTTCCGGTTCAAGCGAGGATCGAGGAGAGAGGAAACGAAAAATAAGAGACATGAGAAGTACCCACGATACACGGGGAAAAAACTACAACATAAAACAGGAAACACAGGAAACAGAAACACAAAGATACTATAGAGAAAATAAAAAACCTTTAACCAGGAATAAGAACAGAAAATACACAGGGTTAAAAACAACATGAGGGAAGAACAATACAAAATAAAACAGGAAATGAATTCTTAACACTGAAATTAACAAAATGTTCTTTTAAAGCGTTGTCATCAGAGACTTTATCAAAGATTCATGTCACATAAATATAAAACTTGTTGGTTTTTGCAGATTTCAGTCGAGCAGACAGAGAGCAGAGTGTCCTGTATCCAGCTGTCTGTCTATGAAGAGTGATCTGTCCAAAGATGATCCTCCACTCTTCAGTCTTGAAAATGAGCCCTCACACAGAAAGTAAGAAAACTAACCATAGAATCAAACCTGGAAACCTTCTCATTATCCACAGCTGTAGCCTTTTTTGTATTTACAGCTTCTTTTATAGCATTATCATCAGAGACTTTATTAAAGATTGATGTCATATAAATGTAAACCTTGTTGTTGTTGTTTTTTCAGAGTTCAGTCGCGCAGACAGAGAGCAAAGTCTCTGACGAGTGATCTGTCCAAAGATGATCCTCCACTCTTCAGTCTTCAACGTGAACCCTCAGACATAAAGTAAGAAAACTTACCAATTAATTTTCACTTCAGATTGAATTTCTACTCAAATCAATCTGCTATCTTAAACTTTCTGATTTAAAGAGAAATCATTTGATCATTTAAAAAAAATCATCCTCAGTATTCCTGTCCAAGAATGGACAGACGCCTCTATGTTCATTCTCCCCACAGGCCGATTAAAAAGTAGACTGTTATTTTCCAATACGCTTGTGATCGGTAAATTTGGTGATGTCAAACATTGCTACGAGACAAAGCACACATCTTTTGATCAATTGTACCAACTGATCTGAGGACTCAGAAAACAAGAAAACTAAGAGCCCGATATGATGGATCCACCAGAATCCTTCATGCATTTACTGGCAAACGTTTGTCAAGTGGATCAAATCGTTTTCTACAGGCAGAGCACTCATTTTCAATGTAAATAATGCTCGTCAATCAATTTCATTTGATTGTGGGAAGGCCAAAATCATGATTCAAATGATATTATTTCTGCAGCTATAGTATAATTACACTCCTGCCAGGGACCAGTGTTGCGTTCAGGTGCAGGTTGTGAAAAAGTCCAAGACTGCTTTTATGTCACAATCTGACCCAGGATAGTAGAGACAGACTAATGCACGTGTTGTATTAGAGGTAACGGTGCTCAGGCCCAGTTAGTCCTAGAGCTGTGTGAGTGCAGGCCAGCAGGGGAATGGGGAGGGGGGCTGTGGTTGGTGCAACTGGGACTAGTGTGAGTGCGCCCTGATTTAATTTTAAAAAACTGTCTTTTGAAACATAAATGATCTGTGTGCAGTGAGAGAGAAAATGTTGTTTCTTAGTCTTTATGAGAGCAGGACGGTTAAAATACAAAAAACAATCATCTCACTGCAGACTATGGGCTGAATGCAAACTTCAGATGGAGGCGTTACCTGCTCTCTATGATCATGTGTGTTAGATTGTGTTTGATAAATCTTTTGTTTTCAGTCAATGATCAGTTTAGTTCTAAAGACATTTCTTCACAGGTGGATGAGGAAGAGGACTCATGTTATAGAGGAGCAGCCGTCCTGTCTTGTGTGTCAGGACGTCCTGAAGGATCCCGTCTCTACCAGCTGTGGACATTGGTTCTGCAGACAGTGCATCACCTCATACTGGGACCAGTCTGGTTCACCAGGAGACTCCTCCTGTCCTCAGTGTGGAAAAAGATCCAGAACAGGACCTGGACTGCAGCCAGTCAGTCAGAGCAGCACTGAACAAAGTAAGAATGTACTACTTTCTGCTTCTGTGATCTCCTCCTAAAACAGGACTTTTATTGTATGAAAAAAGTATAGAAATAAAAACACTTTTTACTTCTTTTACAATAACATTTGAAAATACTAAGCCGATTCTATCATTCTCTCTTTCAGTAGATAGAGGTCTGCAGGAGATTTTAGATAAATATAAGGTCAGTCTGAGGAGGAGATGTGAGCGTGTCACTGAAGGAAGTGATGAAACAGGAAGTAGAACCCTCCTCAACAGGATCTACACTGAGCTCCACATCACAGAGGGACAGAGTGAAGAGGTGAACACCCAACATGAGGTGAGACAGATAGAGACAGACTCTAAAAAGAAGACCCTCCATGAGACTCCAATCAAGTGCCAGGACATCTTTAAAGCCTTACCCGACCAACAGAACCTAAAGACAGAAGCTCAACCCGACCAACAGAACCAAAAGACAGAAGCTCAACCCGACCAACAAAAACAAAAGACAGAAGCTCAACCCGACCAACAGAAACCCATCAGAGTGGTTCTGACGAACGGCGTCGCTGGTGTTGGAAAAACCTTCTCAGTGCAGAAGTTCACTCTGGACTGGGCAGAGGGCTCAGAGAACCAAGATGTCAGTCTGGTGATCCTGCTTTCATTCAGGGAGCTGAACTTGATCAAAGATAAGCGGTACAGTCTTCTTGAGCTACTCCATGTTTTCCATCCAACATTACAGAAGGTCACAGCAGAGACGCTCGCTGTCTGTAAAGTTCTGTTCATCTTTGACGGCCTGGATGAAAGCAGACTGTCATTGGACTTCAAAAACAGGGAAGTTGTGTCTGATGTCACACAGAAGTCATCATTAAACGCACAGTTCACAAACCTCATCAAGGGGAATCTGCTTCCCTCAGCTCTCATCTGGATAACTTCTCGACCTGCAGCAGCCAATCAGATCCCTCCTTTGTTTGTTGACAGGGTAACAGAAGTACGAGGCTTCACTGACGTCCAGAAGGAGGAGTACTTCAGGAAGAGGTTCAGTGATGATGAAGATCTGTCCAGCAGAATCATCTCACACATCAAGGCATCCCGGAGCCTCCACATCATGTGTCTGATCCCGGTCTTCTGCTGGATCACTGCCACAGTTCTGGAGCATATGATGAGCACAGAGCAGAGAGGAGAGCTGCCCAAGACCCTGACTGACATGTACACACACTTCCTGCTGGTTCAGACAAAGAGGAAGAAGAACAAGTATGGTGAGGGACATCAGTTGAGTCCACATGAGCTGATGGAGGCTGACAGGGAAGTTCTTCTGAAGTTGGGGAGGCTGGCATTTGAACACCTGGAGAACGGAAACATTATGTTCTACCAAGAAGACCTGGAGCGGTGCGGTCTGGATGTCACAGAGGCCTCGGTGTACTCAGGAGTTTGTACAGAGATCTTCAAAACAGAAAGTGTGATCTTCCAGAAAACAGTCTACTGCTTTGTTCATCTGAGCGTTCAGGAGTTTCTGGCTGCAGTCTACATGTTCCACTGTTTCACCCAACAGGAACACAACAGTATTGAAGGCTTTTCTTGGAAAAACATATGTAGTTTTAACTCTTGATGTTCTCCTTAAAGAAGCAATGGAGAAATCCCTGAGAAGTAAGAACGGTCACCTGGATCTGTTTGTTCGCTTCCTTCATGGACTGTCTCTGAAGTCAAACCAGAGACTCTTAAGAGGCCTGCTGGGTCAGACAGACAACAGTCCAGAAATGATCCAGAGAGTCATCAACAACCTGAAGAAGAAGAACAGTCATAATATCTCTCCCGACAGAAGCATCAACATCTTCCACTGTCTGACAGAGATGAACGACCTCTCGGTCCATCAGGAGATCCAAGGGTTCCTGAAGTCAGAGAACAGATCAGTGAAGAAACTCTCTGAGATCCACTGCTCTGCTCTGGCCTACATGCTGCAGATGTCCGAGCAGGTTCTGGATGAGTTGGACCTGAAGAAGTACAACACAACAGATGAGGGACAAGGGAGACTGATTCCAGCTGTTAGGAACTGCAGGAAGGCAGTGTAAGTCCAGATGTGATGAGCATTATAAATCAGTGTCTAATATTAATTTACTAATTTTAATAGAAACTGAACAAAATCCTCACTGTTCACCAAAAAGTGTTCCAATGCTAATGTTCAGGAAAAAGGTCAGTTTTTTTTCACGTGTGGTGTTATTGAACTTTTTGCCCTGAGTAAAAAAGTTGGTTTGATAGTTTTTTTTTTGTGAACACATTCAGGAGGGAATTCCCAAAGAACTGACTGTGATGGCTGATAATGTTAATCACTGAAAGGGGAGAAGTCAGATGCTATGAGCGTCCCCTTCCAGCCTCTGCATTTTTTGGTCATAGTACAGTTATCCCTGTCTGCTGTTTAAATACGATGTTGTAGAAAAAATATATATAACCAATAAGCTAGCCAAAGGTATGAAGGAGGATTAGGGCCTAAAAAGAAAACAAATCTTAAATTTCAAGATTAAAGTCATACATTAAACAACATTAATCTTGTTTATTTATGAGACTAATGTTGTTATTTTAGTCTATAGTTACATCAGAAGAGCAGCAGCTGTTCGAAAATGACAAACATGGAGCATTTTGTGAAGTTATACTTAAGTAAAGCTTTCACTCATAAGGAACTACTTCCTTGTGTACGCTGTAAAAAACAGTTGGACAAAAAATATCCGATTATTTGTTGGGGCTTTATTTATGCAGATGTGAAACTACACATTCATCACATGGTCATAAAATATCAGGGCCCTGAAAAGATACTGCAAGAAACTGGGGCTTTTCCGAAGAAAGAACCACACTGAGTTGGATGAAATCTTATCTTTTGTGACAGAATAAAAGGCTTTAAGGGTTTTCCTTTCATCATCATTGGTCCTTAATGATCATTGTAGATCATGATACCTATCGAATTAATCAATAGATCTTTTTAAAAATAAAAATAAATGATGTAATCCTAAATAAATCTATATATTTGTTTCCATACATCTGCAACATTTAGTGAATGTGTAATGAGACTTTTTGTGTCAATGACAGATTCTACTGATGATGTGTAGTTAAGTTAAGACAGAATAGGACATGTCTGTTTAATCATCAAATGTGAGATGTAAATATCAACTTCTTCTTTTATAAGTAATATTTTTCTATTATATGTCACTACAGATTTTCTGACTGTGGACTCTCAGAGACTCACTTTGACGTCATGGCCTCAGCTCTGAAGTCCAACCCT